ACGACCTTACTGATCAACAACTGATCATATTAACAGAATGGTTTTATTCACTGCAATTATTACTTCATCAGTGTATGCGGTGGAACTGATTTTGATGTTCAGATTGGTGAGATCAATGAGCACCATGCATTTGATAAATACGTGAAAATAGACAAGCAAATAATTCCATAACAAATTGGAGATTCGTTACCTTGATTTTTGCACAACAAGCCATAAAGCTTCATCAATAACAAACAGAGGTAGCCGTTTTAGCAATACAAACCACAGGAGTAGAATTAAGTTACCGTAACAACGAAAGCGTCACTTTATTTGGCTAGTCAAGTGAAAGCATGTTGGAATATGTCAACACTTAAAAGTTTTCGTTAAAATACAATGAAATGCAGTAATCGATTAGGTGTGTTCGACGTTCGTTCTGATGAAAGTGTTAAAGTTTCAGGAATGTGATTATGTGAAGTGTGTTCGTTTATTTTGGGTTGAGGAATTGGTGTGATAGTCAAGAAAAACGACAGATTAGCAACCATGTTGCAGTCAGGCCGTGGTAAGGCCGTAATTGTATTCGTTTGAAATGAAGAAAAAAATATATGAACGAGATGCTATGTGGTTAATTGATAATCATTTACACAATAGACAAGAGGTTCAGCACACGGATTCTAATGAGAATTATCTACACAAAAAATGCAACACACCTTCCACAAATACTGAACTTTGTCGAATCAAGACTAATCTGGTTTATGTGATAATTTCATGAATAATGGGTTTCATTCATGCTAATACTGGAATATGTTCCAAATGTTTCTATGATGAATTAGTCATTTCAATTATTCATATCCATTAATAGGGTCAAATACTACAACTCAATACACTAATCGTTGATTTTCTTTTCAATACCATTTATTCGTTAAACATTTAAAAGTTAAACTATTCTAATTTTATGGATGATTTACACAATAGAACTTTAAAACACTGAACTCAGTCTTTTGTGTACTTGATTTACTTGGATAAATTGAAGTGCTTTAGTTAAGTAATGTAAGCGAAATTAAATGATTTATTAAAAAATTCCTTTATTTTAAGATAAATATATTCAAACTAAAGTTAAACGTCAGTATGCCTCTTGCATAGATTTCGAGTTCAGCTCTCTCTTTGCTGTAAATAAATTACGAATATAAATTACTGTCGTAAAAGGATTATTCAAAGACCCGTCAGTCACAACCTTCACAATTACCACCAAGTATTTTTAAATTTTCAAATGAAGGAATCACTTGACTTCATTTGAACTTGAATTTTTGTAATTTGACTTCATGCTACGATTGTAAATGTCATTAAAAAGTGCAACAAACGTACTAATGACGATCAATTCTATGAATGCAAACATATCGTGATCTTCTTTTGATTAGTTCCAGTTAAGCTTCTTATTACACAGTAATCAGTTATATGAAGAATATATAAGTATTTTTGAATAACATTATGGTATGTATTTTGAATAAGCTTCCATCATTAATGTATGATAACGTTGTTGTTTTTGTGGCCCAATATCTGAATCCAATTGGATCGAATAAATGATTGTTATTGAAATAAACATACCTCCAACCTCCGTATATTTTTATCGACTCAACTCGCGTTACTGAATAACGGAATTAAAATAAGTCAAACACGAGAATGGATTTTGTGTATGTATACTTCATGCAATCGTTGATCTGAAGAGACAATTAGGAAAACGAAGTGGAGAGGAGACTGGAGCGAAACGAATCGGAGATAGCATGTGTGCCAACTCTATCTAACCAAGGATTAATCTATATTTATAGTAAAACAAAAATAAGTTACAGATGTGTGATGAGTAGGATAAACAATGTACACATATACGTTCACATAAAAACAGTGAAGGTTGATAAGTGAATAATTACCAAGTTCAAAATGTGGATTGAGGTTAATCGATAAACTGGTCTATCCAGAAGCTAGAATAACCTATGTGGGCTTGACATAGGATTAGACATTACAAATTCTGTTCAAAAATGATAAAGCATTGCAAATTAAATACTACCATCCATTTTTATATCAAAAATAACAGAATTTAAGCGTAATCCATGGAGAACATTTGTTTAACAATCGATCAGAATCATTTTCGGAATAATTCTGTTTACTTTTTAAATGATTTAACTTATTAATAATGTCCATTGTTTTTCACTTGATTTCCTGTTTGAATTAAATCATTTTACAGAGAGTTGATGCCGTTTGAATATGAATTTCACCGTCAAATAACATCAGTTGATAGCTACAGAAAACCGTTCGTAGTTGATTAGTTGTATTTTTATTTTACGAGTTCTCAGAATTACTTTTCAACAGTGAACATCATACCGTAGGATTCTAAAAGTACTATGCAATATTCTTTAGTCTTTAAATGAAACGAAAACTTATATTGTTTCTTTCAGTAATATATTCTAAACCATAATAAGGACTAGACAAGCATGACATTGATCACCATCCAGTGATCAGTCAATTGTGATTACATCTCAGTCCTACAGTAGGTTAGTCACGGCTCGGATAGCTCAGTGGTAACGTCTCTGACTGTGAAGCTGGGTGACATGAGATCGAATCCGCCAGGGGGCACCAGTTCCCTCAAGATTACAGGTACACCTTGCTGACGAGTGCCAAGTAGCACGAAATCCGGGTCCAGGGTTTCCTGTTGACTACCTCCAACTACCATCTAAATCGCAATACATAGTGCCCGCAGTGTCGAGTCACCTAGACTGGTGGCCACATTGCAACATGATCGATAGCATTCGATCTGCACTAATAAGGAATAGATAAGCATGACATTGATCACCACCCAGTGATCAATCAATTGTGATTCTAAACCATATCTTTGTTACAAATACATAATCTTTTTGAAGTGAATCAACTCTTCATCGTTAATGTTTTTTTTTCATACTTCATATCTAAAATATGCAAATTTACCATTCGTTGACATGTAGGCAAATTAATTACGAAGTATATGTTCTTCTGTATCAAATTATTACTATGTATATATACGCTGATTTTTTCATCATTTAAAATATCACTTCAAAGATTAATGAAGAAGCATTACAAAATGCATCTTCATGTAGGTTAAAAATGTAATGTGACTAAAAATTATTTTTAACATTCAACAATTGTTAATTATTCATACACATTTAGATCACTGAATGAAAGAAACAGAATACATATTTCTAGCCGTTTCATACTACCTATTCTTCTTTTGTTTGTTTTTTTTTTGGAAAGAAAAAAGGACTTAGTGATTTATGCATGATTGATCTTTTGTTCTTCCAATAAATTTCATTTTGCTTGTATAAATCGTTGTCGTTTAAAATGGATACATTACAACGAATAACATTAGATTTTTCACTAATGATTTATCTAATACATGTGAGAAGATAATATAATAGGACATTGTGCTATTTCAATGAGCTGAATTACATGCGTTCACGCGTTTCCGATTTGCGTGAGGAAATCGAGTGCCTGTAATTGGAAGTTCTAACGAAACTATAAATGATTAAGAGAATTGAAATATGAAACTCATCAATTTCTGTTGAGTACATTTGAGTGTATCGTACCAAACCTACTTTACCCTGATAATGTTTGAAAAGGATTTTAGTGCATACTCTTAAATGCTTTCAATCAACCTGGGAATCAGAAACGTTCTGACATGTCATTTGACTGACGACACAAATATGAGTTGAGTTGAATCATCAAATGCATAACTGGTTGTTAAAAAATATATATTCGTCAGAATTATTACTATGTTTGTTCAAAACTCGAGACATCTCACATCTGTGTTGACTCAGTGAAATATTCTTTGTGTGATTACGAGTGTATTAATTATAGTCAGCCTATTGACTAATATTTCATTGTCTTTTGTGATATTTGTCTCAGTTATCAAGATAATCCTTCTTCTTTTGTCTTTACAACGTAAACCTGATTTGTGATCATTTGTTTAGGAATTTAGTAGTAATAGTTTTCAGAGATAAATTAAATCAAAGTGAGCTGTACAACGTTCCTACTATGGTATGAGTTGCACACTGAGTTGTTATGACTATCAGTATCTATGTTCCGATTCACCTCGACACAAAACCAGTTTTGCATCATACTTGATAAGATTACAATGGGATTGTGAACATGTTTGTAGTCCTGGTAAATACGTGACCACCATATTCATGTAAGGCTGAAACATTCACATCTTCATCAGTCAGAGACACATTCCACCAAATGACCTTGATGTGTAAGGCGACCGAAACCAGTGATTGGATGAAAGACATCAGCATTTAGGAATTCATTTGTCATTAATATACTTTAACAAGCGAAATATGCATATGCAGGCATCTCATTCATCTTTTGGTACAATTCGAGATGCATCTTTGCCTGATGTCTGATAACAATTGATAATATGATACACAGTTTAATTGATCATAACTAGCATACATTTTGTATATGATCTATTCACGTAATCGAGAAACTATACTAACTTAATCTATCTTCACTGGTTAAATATACATACTGCAGTTTATAAACTGAAAGTTCTATTAGATATATGTGAATATACTTATATTGTCTGTGATACCTTCATATAGTGAAACGATAAGTAGTTCAGGTTATCTGAACTATTTGAGCATTGAATCCAATAGGTTGGTTAGTGCTAGATAATTGCATAGAAGTTCCACAGTCACAGAATATGCGCATTGTATACATCAATTCTGAAGGTGCGTCAATAAAGAACCAACCTATCAATTCATAATTGTCATTGAAATATTCTCCACGTTATGATTTAATGACTCACACTCATGATCCTCTTCTACAGTGACTGTGCACTAAATACGATTCGAAAATTACCTAATATTACATATCAACCATCTGTTTCGATAATTGTTTCCTACTAAATATATTCACTAGCAACTAGAAACGATCATCTATATTACCCATCCTGAAACACACCTATATGACGAGATATAAAGAGAAAACACTCTTGGTCTTCTGCACGAATAACTGTTTATTTCAATTGTTTACTAATAATGAAGATGTTTCATTTTCGATTTTGAAACACTACCACAGATAAAATTACCACACACAAAAGCACACACTGACAATAATATGATAGTGGATCAACCAGTACAAATACAATGTGGAAACACAATCTCAGTTATACTAATATTTATTCTGTTCTGTTTTGTGCTCTTCATTCAACCTATATTTTTTCTGTTTGTTCTTAGAAAGATGAATTACTACAGAAAATTGTGTTTGTGAAGTTAATTGGGTTACGCTGAATGAATAATGATCAGATGTGCGTTACAATGTTTGATTTGGTTTCTGGTGGTATTTTTCTTGCTGTCTTGACTTTCTCCGAATTAACCAGATTTGAAGAGAAGAATTGCTTGTTGTCCCAAGTAAAAATAGATGAAATGTTTGGTTTCATGCGTCACATAACTGCAATGAAGAAAGGGAATTGGAAAACCAGTTAGCAACATATAAGCAAATTTCAGAACAAGAAAATCTTACGAACTTCATTTGAATCCACCAATTCAGCACATGAAATTCCTCAGTATTCATAGAATTGCAAAATCAGACTACAGATCCGTCAAAATATATAGTTTGAATTACTTGAGGATTGGATTGAGAAGTATCAGAAATCAAGATGTCACTGTTGATTAGTGCTTAGTGGTTTTCATCATTTATTGTTTTGATCTAACTGTCTGTCATTCAACTAAGTTTGATTTGTAGTTGTTACTCTGAGGACCGCTTCACAATTCATGAATGAATTACCTAATCCAACATTGATGATGCTTTTGATTCCTACATCCAGTCAAACTGACATTTGTGTTTTGCAACTACATTAACTTGACGTAAACTGTCCTTGAATTGGATATTATATTTATAAACAGAGTCAATGACTGAATTAATGCAGATATAAAGACTTTAACATTAAACATGGAAGTATCTTCTGATTGATCAGACAGACATAATGTTCATTCAAAATCAGACTGTTCATTTGTAGAGAGAAATTAAATGTTATATTAAGTTTCACGCCATTGAGAGGGATTTCTTCTTAGGTGTAGTTCAAATTGTTCTCTACCATCTACACTTTTATAATGCTTCTTATTTCTCAGTGATTTTGAGAATCATTTGATGAATTGAATCAAACTAACATAATCCTGTTAAAAGCTCTTAGTTGGTGAACCTTTCTCGTCCTATAATGTATACGACGAAAATGAGAACCGTTCATTTTGGTGACTCAAGTACGTAAGTGTATATGTGAAGAAAAAATGCATTACATAAATGTGACAGAAAACATAGTTAAATGAATACTGTCCAATGACATGTATACTATTAACTTCCAATAAAGTTACAGAGTTTCTTATACACTGTTACAATCTCCACATTATAACCTCAAATTATTTCTGTCTTGGCATAGACAGTGAGTGAATAACATTGATTACATATTAATAATGAATAAATATTTATGTCGAGTTACAAAATATTACTAACCTTCCGAAATTTCTCCCAACAATACAATGCCATGTAGGATTGTATTTCTTGTCAAATTCTTTCTTAATGAATGCTGCTATATCTTTTTCAATATTATATTTTTCTAAAGCTTGTGTAGCACAATCAACAGCGTCTTGTTGCATATCTTCTGACATATCAGCATTTTTGATTACTGCTTTTTGTTCACCCATTATTATATTTTAAAAGATTTGTAATATGTAAGCGGATAAATTGAGTAGCCGTTTACTATGCTACCTTAGTAATTTTTTTTTCAAATCAGACATTATTTATATCATTAAGTGTGTCATACTTTTGACCTTATTATAAATGCAATAAAGTAAGAAAATGAGAATTTAGTAACTTAGCTTCATAGAGAAAACATATATATGGAATATTTAATTTTCTACACCTATAATCAAATGACAGGTACAACAAAGTATATTGTGCATAAATTTGCACTTAGATAATTAATTGGGTGCATAAAATTAGACGAAATATGATTGCATAATTAAGTGTTACATAGCTTATAGACGTACAAATACTTTAGTAGCTTGGCTTCAAAGATAATAGATGTATGTATATGTATATATGGATATATGAACGTTCTAACACTTATTTCAATTGGCTCATACATAATCTTCATGAATATGTCTTATCAATGTGTCTTAAATCGCTCATTGTAATTACAACAATATCAATCATAGACATTATGATAATAAAAGAAAGGTACAAATCTGTATTCAATAGTTTTTCCATATTAAAACAATAGGATACACTTTCTTGACTATTCTAATAATGATGTATAGACTGACTCAAAATAATAGTAAGCAATTGTTTACCCTTAATGGTAAATTTTGTTCAAATTAAATAGATCTAGAGAAGCTGTTTTATTAAGTAGTGATCATAACTAACTGAGAGAGGTTCTTGTGAGAGACTGTGACTGGTGGAGTTTAACCACGACGGGAGTAATGTAATTATCACTTGTGGATTTCTCGGTATGGTCCCCTATTCCTACTATTAACTATCACTTTCGCATACTCAGTAGTTAGAACTATAACCATCTTCCTTATCCCTACAATAAACGTCAACTTTATTTAATCGGAAACACCGCGTATATTGATCACTAGTTTAAAGATCCCCACAGGGTATCCAGACCAAAGACTGGTTGAGTGCGATTTGTTTTTGATAATTTCATCGCTAGATTATACAATGATGAATTCATATTCATTGTATTACACTGGGAAAAATTACAATCAGTAACTGAATTAGTTGAATAGAATGCATCATATAAGAAATATTATATCGCTTGTGAAAATAATAATGACAGTGATAGCATTTATGAAAAGGTCATGCGACTATAGTATATCGTCATAACGACATCGTCAGGATGTTGCTAATAAGAATTTTATGCTATTGAGAAAGGATTGTACAGGGTGGAGTTCCATCGAAACCCAGCTTACGATATGAAGATTAAATCAGCATACTGTCTAACAGTAGGCCTCAATAAGCATAAAGGAAATACCAACATCTTCAAATACAACACAGAACACAAACTCAATCACACTCGATGAAGAATTTCTGGAATAGGTGGAAACGTTCACGTACATAATATGGTCAGCATCATCGATGAACAAGAAAGATCTGATGCAGACGTAAAGAAGAGGATTGACAAAGTAAGGACAGCATCCCAACAACTGACCAACAGACAGAACTCCTCAAAGCAACGGTCTGTAAGCCATCATCAAAATCAGAATCATTACAAATGTCAAGACAGTTCTATTGTATGAAGCAGAAACTTGCACAACTACCACAATCATGATTAAAATGTTGCAAGTATTTGCAAACCATTGTCTACATATGATACTCAATGTCCACTGACCGGATACCATCAACAACAGTCTACTATGTGAGAGAACAAACCAGCTTCCATATGGAGATGAAATTAGGAAATGTCTGGAAATTGATAGGACATACATTGAAGAAATCATCAATCTGCATCACGAAACAAGCGCTATTTTCGAATGCTGAAGGTAAACGGAAAAAAGGAATGTCAAAGAACATATTGTGTTGAGAATTGGAAGCAGACATGAAGAGGATGAATAGAAACTGGGGACAACTGTGAATGATTGTCCAGGACAGAGTTTGATGGGTAATGCTTGTGGGCGACCTATGCTTCTCTACGAGGTGCAACAGGTGTAAGTCATTAAGTTATTGGAAACCATTAAATAATCTAGTGTAATACACACTAAGTTTGCACTAAGATGCATCGGTTTCGAAAAATAATGTCTACAGTTGTGAGTAACTATCTATCCACCCATTATATATGATTGTAAATTGTATCAATGTGTCAGTCACATACACACAACCTTGCAAAACGTCTGATAATAGTATTAAACCCTATCCGAAATCAATTTTATAAGTATTCCTCATTTGTCTCATTTGGATTAATGAAGTACTTAATGGATATGAATATACAAACGAAGAAAATAAGCTCCTTTGATAAGAACACTCTATTTACAAAGTATCTTTTAGGAAAACTACTGATATTTTATTTGACTATATCTCATTGAATAACCTTATATTGCCATCTCCTGTTAAAACTCTCAAAGGTTTATTATTATAGAGTACTGACAGTGTAAAATCCACTTTTGAGGGTGAGCACTTTCGAAAAATCGATGGCGTGGCTATGGGCAGCCCTTTTGGACCATTGCTGGCTGGTGTGTTTATGGGATATGTTGAAAATCTAGCTGAATACTCAATTCAAAAGATGTTTCTGTATAAGCGGTACGTTGACGACATCATAATCATAGGAGATAAACGTCATGTGAACAGTTTGTTAAAAGAGCTCAACACAAGTTAAAAACATATTTCTAATACGCGCGAAGAAGAGAAGGATAATCAACTTTCTTTTCTAAACAATACTGATTAGTAGGAGAAATGATGGTTCCATCAAACGTTCTGTACACAGAAAGCCTACATAGACAGGGTAATATCTTAATTTCCGTAGTCACTGTTCAACGAATTACAAACGTGAATTAATAAAGGGCTTATTCAATAGAATCAACGTTATTTATGCTAGCGATACAACTGAAGTAGGAAAGAAGCTGCTGACTGAAAAGTTTGTGGGTCCTTTATTTTGTCGTCATTTAGATCGGACGATGTTTGTTGACGGGCTCTCCACTTTAGTGGCTTGAGTTCTGACTCCAAGCAGATCGTATGAATGTTTGTTATCATCTATCTTCTTATATAATCATCGACTAAAATCGCATTACTCAATAACGGAATTAAGTAAGTCATATAACGAGAATGGACTTTTTGACACATATTTTTTATGTAAAGCGAATGGAATAGAACAAAGCAAAACGACGTACAGTGGAAATGGTAGGTGAGCTAACCCCCATTTAACCAAACGTTAATCAATATTTATAGCTACACAAAAATAAGTTACAGACATGTGATGAATATAGGATAAGAAATGTACACACATATATGAGCTCATATAAAAACAGTCAAGATTGATAGGCGAATAATTAACAAGGTCAAAATGTGACTCAAGTAGAATCAATTGATTGGTCTGTCCGAAAGCGAGAATAAGATAAATGGGCTTAACAAAGTAACTGACACTACAAGTTAACGAATAATGGTTATTCGTTGAAGTTTATAAACCACTGGAAGGGCAGCAATACGATTAAACCTATGATGATTCTGGCACCCAAAAAGCGAGTCCACATTATGTTACAATTTAGAGGCGACTCAAATACTCTCATGTTGAAACGGAGACTTAAATTAGCCATCAACAGGAGATTTTATGCAGCTCAACTTGTCATTATTGAAAAGACAATGTTTATGTTTCACCAAAAACTCAAACAGCACGTAAGGGACTATGTCACATCCCATTGTGTCTATCAATTTACATGGATGTGCAGAAACACGCACATAGGGAGGAGCAATCGTGATATGCAAGTAAGGGTGGCGGAACACATACCCAGATGGCTGCAAAAACAAATGAATTCCAATGGTTCAAATAAGATCACAGAATAGACAGACATCTTCCTCCATTGCGAAACATTTGGTTGAGACTGGTCATAAGGTTGACATGAAGTCAGCATTTGTAGTTTTCTATAAAAGCCTTCAAAGGCCTACACTTAGGTTTATTGAAGCGTTGATTATACGTAAACTGAAACTTCGTTCATGAATTCAAAAGTAATTTGTTCTTGGCATTAATCTACCCTGGCAATACTGATTTGTCATCCAGACTGGTTATCACATTGTTTTTGTGTACTTTATTTTTCTTTGTTACGGCTTACCTTTAATTTGTCTAGTTGACCTTTTAGTTTTCATATAAAAATGTCTTAACAAGTATATATGTGGTCAGATTGTTCGAAGTATATCGCGCAAATATACCACATAGTTCTGATAACCTTCGTCTTCTCATTGTATTATCGAAATTTGGAGAAAGTAACCCGAATGATTTTTAATAAGTTCAGGAACGACATTGTAGCTTACTAGTCGGTAACAGTGTAAATACTAAGTTTCAATGTTATTTGTGGTTTCGCAACGTACGCTATAAAACTGAAAGTGATCTATGATTTTTACTTTATAGTGTAAATAACATCGCGTCTGCGTGAATGTTGTAAATGCTTTTCTATAAAAGTAGGACTAAACTACTTGATTTCTGATTCAGTAGATGATTTAACAACACCAAAAAATAATCCTTTTCTCGGTGAAAATGATTGTTCTTAGTTATCAATTTCATAAACATTAAATTAGATGTGACAATCATTGTTAAATGACATTCTCGTTTTTCATTTTCTAAATAAAACGTGAGCATCAGAAAAGGAGAAATGATTGGCAGTCCAATACACAAGGTCGGACAGGGCATCTGATACCGACTATCCTGAAGAATAATACAACTCCGCCTATAGCCCTTATAGGGTTACTGTCAGTCACAAGTCCACACAAAGCATGATGGTTGGGATTAGAGTCGTCAGTTCCATCCTAAAGAAAACAACCTTGCTACAAAAATTCAAACCAGTTTGGACAAATTAAACTGATCAATCTCTGTCCTCCGAGTTGAAGGATCTTTATTCACAATAATTATGACGCCTCACATTTTCCATAATTACGTTTGAACTATGAATCACTAAATAAATCAAGGTAGTGTCTATTGACTATTCTTCTAATTAGTATTGAAACGATTCATATTACAATCCAGTACACGTCATTGTTAACAATTATTGTTAACAATAACAGACAATTCTAAAACCATATAGGTGAATGATCATTACATATAACTTTCATGTCAAACCACCGAACTGATAATTCTCGACGTCTTGACACTGTTTTTTCAATGTCTCTCCAGAATAAATTTGGATTGGAACACTAACAATCTGAACGTATTTTTCTTCTCACTGGGAAATATGATTTCAGTCGATTAAGTAGTAATGACAAACTAAATAGACTGTCGTAAGCAGAGACGTACATTGGCTAGCGATGAAATCCCGGATGAGAGTTACGTTCTACGAGGGAC